CGAACGAGTTTTTCGTGATGATTGTTCATGTGCGTTGTGATATTGTTGTGTGTGACCCAAAGGAGAATCATTCTTTGATGTTGATTATATAAAGGTAGCGATGGTTGATTGTTTTTATTCAGTTCGCATGTGATTAAGAAGATGTGGAGTTATAAAAGTGTAGCATATGTTGCAGGTTTGAAACGTGAATAAGTTAGCGGTGCAGATTATTCATTTGGAAGGTAATCATTTTTTTAACAATTATGCACGTTTTCTACGATCATTTGAAGATTGATGAATTGTCATCCGATATTTTTAGCATTCGTTTGCTGCATGTGTATTGTTTTGATAAGATTTTCAAAGCTTCTCTGGTATCAACATGATTATTGAGTCGAACGCTATTTGCTGCTTTTCCTTTTTTATGTTATTTTTTTTCTGCTTGAGATTTGGAAGCTTTACATAATTTATTAACATAGAAAGTCAATTGGATCATCCTTCAGATTGTTCTATTTTTAGTGGGAGATGAAAATGTTATGGTCGTACTTTTATTAAACAGTTTTCATGCAATTTCGAAATACTATCATTGGTGAAGAGTCCATCATTGACCAATAAAGAATACATTCAAAGGACGTTCATATTGACTGTTCATTCAGTGACTTTCATGATTTTTAATTCGAAGGGTGAGCATGATGGAGCTCTCCTTTTCATTACCCTCATCTTCGCCTACTCTCTAGAGCCGTTCATCTCTGTGCTAGACGAAAAATGAAAATAATTCATGATAGATCGTCAATCATTAGGTGAACCAAAAAGCTAATAAAGTAATGATGTGAAAATACAACAATTTCAAGTCGATTGTTTAGTGACAATTTCCCATTGCGAAATCATTAATTATAGTGAACGATTATCTGGTCTTAGTTCTACATCGGTAGGTGTCTTTATGAGTTCGTGCTTGGCATGTCGAACCGCAGCCGAATCATTCAGTATTCCTTTCTTGAGCGAATTGTAAACGTAGAGAACAGCGGCAGCGAGTAGTGCCATTTCGAGACAAATGATAAAAAAGATTTCAAGCATAAAATAGCCGTACCGATCAAGAATTAAACCGGTGAAAATGTTCCTAGGAAACGAGCAAAACGTATGATTAATATTAGTCAGAAAAGAGAATTTCGTACATGATGGCAAGGCTCAAATTTTGAATCGAATGCATTAGTCCATAGGCAGTGCCCAACATCTGCTTGGGAACGAGATGTGCAACCAATGGCCACAATGACGCAGCCAATATCGAATAAGCAATACCCATCAGCACAAGTGGTACGGCTGGATGCAGAAAAAGAAATGCAATTAGAGCGTGAGCGATAATTGTAGCTATGATACTACTAATGAGCCAATAAATGTCGCGACCGATTCGATCGATTACATAGCCAAGTATAGGGGAAAGAATGGCTGACCTGAAAACAGAATGGCTTTCAACGTGCAATAACAGTAATCTGAAACTTACATGAAATAGATTAAACTATTACAAGCGTTTGACCATGCCGGCGACAATCCATATTTGGATTCGAACAGTAATTGTGCAGCAGAAATGAATGGGAAAATGGCCACATAGTAGAAGGCACAAATGGCATAGACATAGTAGAGTGAAGCTGGAAAGTGTCGGACATCTATTCACTAAAGTGAACAAAAAGTTCAAACAGGACAAGATATAAACCTACCTCGAAGGTGAAATTCATCGACTGAAGAAAACATGAAACAAAATTGCTGGGTGAGTTGAGAGGAAAAGACAACTAACCTTTTTCATTCAGATTGTCTTCGTGTAGTACTCGACGACGTCGATTATCCAACCACCAAAGAATGAAAGCACAACCAAGCGAAAAGATACATGTTGATACCGCAATGAAAAGTGTAATACCAATACGTTTCGGACCAGATATATCATGAATGAGTGAATCGTAAATGGGATGAATAGTATTCAGAATGGCGAGACTACCCTTTTAAAAAAGCATAATAGAAATGGTATTTCGAAGGTGGTTTTAAAAATAAACGAACTGAACATACACACCACTCGAGCAAAGGATAATTGCAAACCGAATACAAAGTTCAACTGTTTTCCGAAAAACCAGGAGGCAGCATAAGCACTTTGAACGGTCCAAATTGCCTCGCCACCTATACCAAAAATGAATCGACCCATGTTCATAAGCCAGATGAGTCGAAAAAAGCCACCGATACCAAACACAATTTGACCGACGACAGTAAAGCCACAAAAGATGGTAGCACCACGAGCCATTCCCAACCACTTATCGATCAAGACACCGCTGATAGCACCCAATCTAATCCATACGAGAGAACGGCATAGGATCTCTTAGCAGAAAAAATAGAATAACAACTCACACAACATTTGGCCACGAGTACCATGAATAAAAAGAGGTGAATGTTGCCGATGAAATTTTCAAATCTGCCTTCATCACATCCTGCAAACCGGCCGGTATGTCATCACAGTAGGAAGAGCCTAGAAACAAATGGTAAAAATTAAAAGAAACACAGATAGAAGTATAAGTTACCAAATGTTAAAAAACACATAAAGAAAACGGCTATCCAACGAAGATAGGGTCGACGTGGGTCGAGTAATTTAATGTTCAATGTCGTATCATCCGTTGGACCGATAATCGAAGTACTTTCTTGGTAAGAGTCACCCATGATCAGATACACATCACTAAGAGACAAGGACAAGAAACGTCATTGTCCTAACTGATAAGTAAAGATAATTCAATGAGTACGACTCGACTATTTGTTCTTTTATCACCTGGTCATTTGTAAATGGTATCATCATCACATCGTGAAGGATGACCTCTATTGTGAAACTTTTACATGGTTCATATTTATATTCCTATTGTACGAAATTTTTCGGACGATCATTCAAATCAAATTTTTTTGCTTTACAAATGTCCAGAAAAAACAGAGTCTAGATAGAAAGAGACAAGGAAATACAAGATACATTTTGACAATTGAAATTTTAATACGACATGTTTCTCATGTCGACTCTCTGTCTCCACACTCGAATGGCAAAAATTTTTTTGAAACATAGCATTCGAAAGAGTTTCAGAAACTGTGTACAACAGCATATGACTTTAAGTTTCATGAAAGAGTTTCAACGGTTTTTGGGAGCATTTTTCTGAAAAATGCCTTCAAAAATTATCACTTTACAATTTTTACATGAGCAATATGTCGTGTTAACCATAAAGTAGATATGTGACTACAGAGAAAATTCGTTTTGACAACATTTCAATTATCAAAATGTAGTTTGTGTTCCTTGTCTCTTTCCATCTAGACTCTGTTTTTTCTGGACATTTCTAAAGCAAAAAAATTTGATTTCAACGATCGTTCGAAAAATTTCGTCCAATAGGAATATAAATATGAACCATGTAAAAGTTTCACAATAGAGGTCATCCTTCACGATGTGATGATGATACCATTTACAAATGNTGCAAATTTCACATGCTGATTTTTATCATTAAATAAATATCATTTTCTCTTATCTTATATCTATAAGCAACGAAAAGCTGCTTATTTTTGTTGCTCTGGCAGTCTTCTTCTTTCTGACAAGATAGAGAAATCAACGAATAGAGAGTGTTAAGCTAAAAGACTTGGATAAAATCCTATTAATACAATCAATACAAAACCAATTAAATAAAAAGTAAAATATCAGTGGTTTTTTTCTGTTAGAAAGAAATTCACGACCTTCAAAAATATGTTCTCACCTTTATATTCTGCAGAAGTATTTATGCGTTCTTCGTCATATTCTGAATGACTCATACTATAGATAATGAGTTTCACCACGACAAGATATTGTTTTGTTGTTCTTCCAAACTATGGTCTATGATCTCGCGCAGCGAAGCCTGTGAAGAAGACCAGTCATCAGCGAATCATGGCGTAGCTTCTTCAAGGAGAATGTGTTAATCAGACACTTCAACTCATTTTAAATGAAGTATAAAAAAACGAATGCAACAAATATAGTATCAGAATTTCCACAGAAGTGTCTCCATACGTGAAATTCGATAGATATCACTTTAGGTTCCAGACATCGAATGTCGAGGCTGCTGTCATCGAAATGAGATGAATAATGAGAGTGATCTGCTTTGACCGCTTATTTCCGCTCGTCAAAAATCATTGCATGTCTTCTAATAATATCCTTCTGATGTGACTCTCATCTGCCTTCTCCATGATCGAACTAATCGATTAAGTTGGCTAGCTGCACTAGATGTAGTGATCGACTTACATCTTTGTGAAGCTGCCTCAGCACAACACATTCGAATGACGAGATCAAAATTTTGATTGGTACTCATGATCAATCACAAGGAGCAAAATAAAAATCTCATCGTAAAAGATAAATCCATGGACATAGCCATTCATGTAATACTTGTTCTAGACTCAGCATTCAATGAGCTATTTAGCACACTGATCGGTCTCTACCCATCATATTTGTGAAGGAAGAAAATCTCTCTCTCCTATTCATTACTAGCACACATCACCCGTGCGGTATAAACTAATTCTTTATTTCTAACTTTCCCAAGCATAGTCGGAACTTTGAGTGTCTTGTTCAAGACTCAGAATTGAATGAGTGATCCAACGAGACGCGTTGGTATTAAGAAATTCTAAAATTTTGAACCTTTTAAATTAGTCAATAGATTTCGTTAAAAAAACATCGAGTTGTGGTCTTTTACAACGATCAAGCAAGTTCATGAGCAATCGTGGACTGTTGAAGCTATGGACATTATTTTGATCCAAATACTTCATTTCATTAGCAATATTTATCTGAAATCATTAGAATAAAAGTTTTATTAGCTGAATAGCGATAAAGCTAAAACACTTTCCTAATATTTTCTGCGTTCTACAAACTGAAATAAATGTCCGTTGTACTCACTGCGACA